ATTTATGTATAAGGACTTAAGAGACTCAATAGAAAATTTATTAGAAATAACAGAGGTTTTTTTTGTTTTGCTTTGTTCTTAGAGAGAGAAAGAGAGAGAGCTGGGGTGGGGCAGAGAGAGGGAGACAGAAAGAGAATCCTGAGCAGGCTCCATGCTGCCAGCACCAAGCCCAACATGGGAGTCGAACTCATGAACCATGAGATCGTGACCTGAGCCGAAATCTAGAGCTGGATGCTAAACCAACTGAGCCACCCAGGAGTCCCAGAAATAGAGTGTTTAACAAATCAAGTTTTGGACACAAGATCAATATACAAAAGTAGCATTGCTCTACACAAGCAAAACCAAACTGAAAATATAATAAAATAAGGACACTGTTTACAGTACCCTTCAGCCTCTGAAGACCATAAGTAAATGCTTTGAGGAAGACCTAAGTGAATGGAAAGGCATACCATGTTCATGGTTGGGAAACTCAAACTGATGTCATTTCTGTCTCAAATTAATTAATAAATTCAATGCAATTTCTACAAAACTGTGTGACGTTGTAACTAATAACAAATACATTGGTCTGTACCCATTATCTGGTGCAGAGATCCTAAACCCCTTGCTGTTCTCTCCCAAGGGAGAAGAGCCTGGAAGGTGTCTCTGGTCCTTCATAACAAACCACTTTCAACCACACAGCTGAGTTTATGTGAATGAGGTAAGTTCTGGAAACCCTCTAAGGATGGGGGCTGGTTGCCATGGAAACCAACCACATCATGACATCTGTGGACGGAAGGGGAGCTGGAGGTCAAGTCAATTACCAAAGGCCAACGAATTCATCAACTGTGCCTTGTAAACCCTCCATAAGAACCAAAGCAGACACGGTCTGGAGCATTTCTGGATGGGTGAGGACACGGTGCCGGGAGGGTGGAACCCCAGAAGGCAAGGGGTCTCCGTGCTCCCCTCCCCCACACACCGTGTCCCTGCCTCCCTTCTATCAGGTTGTTCTAGAATTATATCCTTTTATAACAGATTGGTTATCTGGTAAGTAAAATGATTCTTAGTTCTGTGACCCAATCTGAGGCTAAACTGATGGTCCAGGTAACATGGAACTGAGTTAATTCTTTGGCAATATTAAAAATCACACACATTGAAAATATCTACTGATATTTTCAGTAAATCTGACAAAGAATCCACAATTCGTATTGAAGAAATAAAGGCGTATAAAATGTTAAGATCCTTTTAAAAAGCCGTTTATTGTAAAACTGAAATTCAGATACTGAAAAGCTCATCTCAAAAAACAGAGCTTTGTGGATTATCACAGAGCAGATGGCCCGATTGCCGCCAGACAACGGGGCCCCGGCCAGTCGAGCCCCGTCACTCACCCCAGAACCAGCACGCTGACTCCGTGGTGATGGCCTTGCGTTTCGTTACGGTTTAATCACACGGATGTGCCTCTTCACGCACTACACGTGAGGCTTGCCTGTTTGTCAAACTTGGCTCATCCGGTCTGTCTGCACGTCTCCTCCTCTTTGCCAATTCAGGGTCCCCGTCAGGCGTCCTGGGGGGCAGCACGGCATCCGTTGTGTTCCTGGTAAATCGGCAGCAGGACCCAGGGGTCTGGCTGCACTCAGGGTCTAGGTCTTGAGCCGGACAAGAGCTGGTGTCGAGCACCTTCACGAGGGGGATGTGTGTGGGCCTCGGCCACCCGTGATGCTGCCCCAGCACCTACGCCATTGGGAGACGCGAAGCGGTGATACAATTCTACTGTTTTGTTTCCACGTATGCGCTGGAATACCTACTTCCTCCAAGGTGGCGTTCACAGAAGGCAGAACAAAGGCTTGATTCTTTCCTTTATTTTCTCGGTTTTCAAGATGATGAAATGATCCCGTCATCCACAGAGGGTGAAGGGCTCCATTTCTTTAAAACAATATCATTTTGAATACATGGGTTGACACATGGGTTGCAATTTATTGCAATTCTTATTCTTTTTTTAAGCTCAAATAACATCCCCTCGGCTAATAGCATCTTCTTCAGGTTGTCTCCCAGGTACCTTGGAGCCGCACCAAGCGCTCCCCGGTATGACAAGAGGTCCCAGCTCTTCTCGCACATTTTCTGCCCCAGACTGGGAACCCGCCACTTCTCTCAGAAGCCCTGCCTCGTTCCTTTTGGTGGAAAATGGTATTTTAAGACCACAGCCTGGACACTAGCGAGGCCCATGGCTCTGCATTGGTCCTTGGTTCTAGAGGTTTTCTGTGGAAAGGGTGGCAATATATTTATATACATGTAAGTATGACTCACAAGGTCATACTCATGTGACGAATTCAGAGCAAAGGTTTTACTTCACCTTTTCTATATGACATCTGCTTCTCCTTTCTCCCATGCCGAAAACGCAGATGCTCAGGGACATGGGAGAAGAGAAGGCTACCCTGTCCTGTCCGTCGCTCGCTGAATGCAAGTAACATTACAGACGCGAATCTCAGTCATGGCACTAACAGTCAGCATGATGAGAAATGGTAAAAACATGTCTTGACATATAATTTCCTCGTTCTTCCCCATTTTTTATGGTTGTTCTCTACCTACATCATCAGAACATAAAGCTGCGACATACCACACTCTCTCCCTTTGACATACACAGTCTCGGTCTCGCAAATAGCCGCGGATGTGATTTACTCCCCTAATTCTGATGTTCGTTTCATCAGGCAGTTGACTGTTCCTCACAGGAACAGACCACTAGCAGACTCCTTGTAGGGGCCTCTGGGGTCAATATTCTGGTGTCCCTGCTTGTATCTACCTAAAGGTTGGCTTTACTTTTACTGAAATACACTTGACACACAACATTGTGTAACTTTAAGATATACAACCTGTTGATCTGACACATTTATGTATTACATACAATATGGCTGTTGACGCATCACAGCAATTCTACTGGGTCACATAATTATCTTTTCTTTTTTTAGTTTGGGATAATTAAGATCTAGTCCCTTAGCAAGTTTGACGACTGAGAGACAATATTGCTGTAACATTCGCTGTGCTGTAGTTTGTCCCGTCTGATCTAATACACTTTTCTTTCCACTGTAAGTTGCCTGCTCTTTTTGCCGACATGGCCGTAAGATTTTTCTCTTTCTTTTTATGATCCAGTGGTTTTACTAGAATATGTTTCGGTGTTAGATATTCAGAACCCATGTTCGTGGGTCTGTGGTTTGCCCTTTCGATAGCTAGTTTCCAGAAAAAAAATTTTTTTCATCTTCTGAGAACTGTAGTTCTTAGTATTTGTTCTTCTTCAGAAAGAAGAAATAAACATCATCTGTATTTTGACATTATTTGCCAACCTGTGACACTTACCATTTCTTCACACATCATTTTAATCTTTTTCAGTTCTTCTTTATTTTTTAAAAATTATTTTAAAGTTTATTCATTTTTGAGAGACAGAGTGTGAGCAGGGGAGGCGCAGAGAGAGGGAGACACAGAATCCGAAGCAGCTCCAGGCTCCAGGCTGTCAGCACAGAGCCCGACGCGGGGCTCGAACCCACGAACCGTGAGATCATGACCTGAGCCGAAGCCGGACGCTTAATCGACTGAGCCGCCCGGGCGCCCCTAGTTCTTCTTTATTTTTTAAAATTTCCTCCTTTTCACCTTGTATCTCTCCTGGATGTTTAATATCGGGTCTGTTCACACAGGTTCTTCTAATGTAGTCTTCATTCCTAAAATTATTCTTCCTTTATCTCTAATTCTGTGCATCGTCACCCCACCTCCGAGAATTCCTAAGTTTGAAACAGAAGTCACGGTTTGCGAGCGTTTCTGGCGCCCTGTCTGCGGGGACGTTACGGCGCTGATTCCCTGATTACGTCCAGTCCAGCGCGTTGCTTCGGACCAGTTCTCCTGAGCGGCCCGCAGGGGGCGCAGCTCCGGCCTCAGGGCGCCCCCACCCTCCCGCCGCGTCTGCGCCGCGTTTGGAAGCGGGGAGACCGCTCCCCGGTCCGCGTGCTCCTGTACCTCCTCTCTGGCCCCTGCTGCCCTCGCTCTGCTCCGCCTTGACGGCACCCCAAGGTCCCTGGTGTGGGGCCGTCTCCCGGGGGTCCTGGAGCTGTGGGGGCGCCGACAGCCGGCTCCCGCCGCGGGTCGGGGGGGGGCCACGGGCGCTCATCAACGGCTGGAGCTCCAGGCCTCCCGGGGCACCGCCCGCTCACCTGTGGCCGCGCCCCCGTGTCGCCCCGCCGCCCAGCTTGCACCTGCGGGCGCAGGGACGCGGGCACAGGGCCGGGACGGCGCGCGGCCGGTCGAGGAAAGGAAGGAACGAGAGGCTCGCGTCGCAGGCCACCAGCGCCGGGTCAGCGAACCATCCAGGCCCCCCCCCCCCCGTCCCCTGCGGCTGGAACATCTGACCCCCCCCCAGTAAGAGGTCACACTGCGCTCCCACCTCACACCGGGGTGGCAATAAACCCCAGTAAGTTAAAGAGCTAAATGAAAACGACGCTTTAAAACCTTTAGAAATACAGCAGAGCAGGAGACGGAGACACCACCCCCCGGCGGGGAAGGGGTCCTTAAAAGATCCCCCCAAATCCACAAACCCATTAAAGAGGAGAATGTGATCAGGTCAAAGTGGAAAACTTCTAGATGGCCTTCCCGTCAAGGGAAGCAGAGAAGCGCTCTGTGGCCGGAGGGGGACCCCAGCGACAGGCGGGACCCCCGATGAGCCAACGGCCACCGGACAAAAGCCATATTTAAACGGGGGTCACTTTGCATTGGACAAAGCTGGAAGAGTTGGTAAGAGGAACTGGGGTTCCATACACCGCGGGTGGGGAGGTGGCCGCGAGCAGTGAGGCAGGACCTGCCGCCGCAGGCGCGCAGCTGAGTGCGGGCTGCTGGCCTCGGTGGTGCACGGGGCACCTCTGGGGGACACACTGGCCCGTGAGGCAGGCCGGGAAGGCCAGTGCAGTGACTGGGAGGGGACAGGGCGCCCTGGTGACCTGGGCCGATGAGGGCGGGAAAGGCAGCCAGTCCCCCTGAGATGTACTCACGGTTCCCTCGGCTCTTGCAGGCGAAGCCCTGAGGACAGAACGAGAGAGGGTGAGAGGTCGGCCTGGCCACTTCCTGTCCCAGCCCCTGAACCCGGCCCCCGGGGGCCTCACTCTGCAGGGGCCTGGGGGTGCGGCAGTCCCCCATTCCTCCTCAGCGTCCGCGTGGGCTGGCCCCGCAGAGGCCCAGCCCAAGGCCTCGCACTCAGTGGTCAGTCAGGGGAGTGTGTGACTCGGACCCCATGGACCGGCGGGTCCCGTGCCCTTAACTAGCCTCCCAGCTTCTACTGCTGGTGCTCGCAGCCCCCCAGCCCCCGGCCGTTCTTTATGGGAACCTTGGCTGAGTACCCCCTAGGCACTGATTAGGTGCTGGGGTTCACTAATGAAAGAAAATGGGGAAAGACCCTGCCTTCGAGGAGCCTACATTCTGAGACGCGGGCACAGCCCAGACCGGGAGACGTCAGCAAGTTACACTTTACGCCAGAAGCTGAGGGGGACTGTGGGGTTCCAGAGCAGTCAGGAAGTCTGCTCGGGGGAGGCCGCGGAGCCACGGGGTACCCGGGCAAGGGCCATGGACAGCGTGTGAAAACTCTCTGTCCAGGCTGGTCCCCAGCGGCTCCCACCCCCACCCAGCCCCTGCCTGACCGAGGGGGCCCAGGCCAGGGGGCGTCTGAACTGGGGACCAGGTTCACACGGTGGCCGGCCGCGGGGGAAGGTGGCTGGATGCCCAGGCTGCGGACCTCATTCAGTGGGTGGGCTGTGAAGTGAGGTCGGGGGTGCTGTTCTGGGAGCCCACAGGCGGCAGGGTGGCTGGGGCCTGGGCACCAGGCGGGGGGCGGGGGGGGGGGGGGGGGGGGGGGGGGGGGGGACCGTGCTCCACAGCGCCCCACATGGCAGCAAGGGGCATTGGCCGGTGGTTCTCCGCTCCCTTCCAGAACTGACCCTCCTCCTCTGGACGCAGGAGGCGAGGCAGCTGGGGGCTCAGAATGGAGCGCAGGCCCTTGCTGGTAGGCAGGTGGGGAAACGCAAGAATGCAGCCCGGCCCACCCCTGCCCTGCCCTGCCCGCGGTGCGTGGAGACGCCCTGCTGGGGCTCCACCGCCGCTCCCGCCCCTTACTAAGTGTGCTTTTATTTTGGAACAAGGTTAGATTTACAGAACGTCGTGAAGGCAGTCCCGACCGTTTACCCCTAACATCAATATCCCACGTCACGATGGTGCATTTGTGAAAACTAGGGCTCCGGTGCTGGTGGGACCCCATCAGCTCAACTCGTTTCCACCAGCACCCGCTTTCTGTTTGATGCTGCATTCAGCCTTCCCGGACTTTCCGCCGCTGTCACCACCCCATTTTCTGGCCACCGTGCTGTCTCCCTAGAGGCTGCTGACGTGTCCCGCCACCCTCAACCTCCAGCTCCCACAAAACCTGCCGAGGTCAGAGGAGCAGACGAGACCCTACGCCTCGGTCCCCCAGCCCTGCCCATGGCCCCCCGGAGAGGAAGAGACCCCAACGGCCTGACCCCAAGGGCGCTGACCCAGGGGGTGGCCAGAGGGCTCTGCTTAGAGGAAGGGCTGAGCCCACAGGGGTGCCCTCTCCAAGTTGGGACGAGTGGCCCCTGGTGGCCGCACGAGCAGCAGAAGCAGGGCCCCATCTGCAGCCCCGAGTGGATGAGGGAGGGGTCAGGCTTGGGTCCTCCGCCACCCTCACTGCCTGCCCCAGCCTCCGATGCCCGGAAGCCCTCCCAGGTATCCACTGTCTTCCCCGTGACCTGAAACTATTCCCCCCACCCCGGAGCTCACAGAGGGAGGGGGCCCCGGTGTTTCCCCGGAGGTTGAAGGGCATGCGTGTGTCCTGGCCACTGGGCACCGCCCGCCCTCTGGGAACTGCCTGTCTGTGCCTGTGCCTGAAGCCCCCCGCGGCCCAGCAGCGGGGCGGGGTGTCTGCTGGCCGGCCCTTCGGTGCCCAGGGCCTCTGCCCTCTGGGACACGGAAGGAGGGACCAGCAGGGACAGAGATCAGGCCAGAAGGCACCTGTGGGCAATGTGGCCCAGGGTCGCTGGTATACACAGAACTCCCAGAGGGGCGGGGGCGGGGGTGGGGTGGGGGGAGGCTGGCTACACGCCCCCGGGCCCTGCCTGAGGGTGGGGTGGGGACGGAGAAGTGGCCGCGCCTCCACCTCCCTGGGGTTTTCCGTTGGGCTTCTCGGGGCTTCCCGGCCCTGCGTGGGGGCTGTCTGTGCAGAGGGCCCCCCCTCCAGGAGCGTGTCTCTGGGGCGGGGTCTCCGGCTTCCCCCCCACCCCCCATTGCTTCCCCCGCCGGGCCTGAGCTCCAGCCGGAGGAGAGGGCCAGTGTCCTGGGTTCGCCCTGCCTGGGCGGGTCTGCTCTGTAGAGCCCAGGGTGGCGTGACCCCAAGCGCTGGGGAGCCCCCCCCCCAGGCATCACTGGCACTGTGGTCCTCTGCTTCTGTCCCCCCAGGCCTCGCAGTCAGCTCAGCGAGGAAGGGTTTTCACGGAACGCTTGCCAAGGCCGTGAAGTCCTCCTGTGGGTACATGTGGGCTGGAGGGGTCTGGGCGCAGGCGTGGGGGCCCCCAGGGGCTGCCTGCCCCCCCCCCGGCTCCCTGCTCGCCTCCTCTCCCGAGCAAAACCCCCTTCTGAGCCCGCTGAGGCCCCTCCCTCAGCCCTCAGCTGCCCGCTGCTCCCTCACCCCTGCCCCCAGCCCCACGCCCAGCCAGGCACCAAGGTGGCTACAGCTCCCCCGGCCAAGTGCACAGTGAACCCCTTCCCTGCTCTGCTCTCCCCTTACCCCCTCCTCTCTTCTTCTTGAGGATTTTTTCTCCTCCTCACAGCCGCTGGGTCTGGGGGCTCAGCCCCACCGCCCCATCATGATGGGGAGCTCAGCAGGGGCCCGGCCAGGCCTCCGCCCATGGCCCGGTGCCCTCACCCGCAGCTCTCCGCGTGTGACGGGCCTCTCAAACCCCACCTTTCAAAGCCAAGTTCCCTTCCCCAAAACCTCCCCTCAGCACCCCCGGGCCTCCCACCTCAGGAAACCTCTCCGGCAGCCGAGTGGTGTTCTAGGGGCCACTTTGATTTCTTCCCGGGCACCGGGGGCCCTGGTCCTGCCAACTCCACCCGCAAAGTGGGTTCCAGGAGCGCCCTCCTCCCCCACCTTCACTGTGGGGGGGCCCAGACCTCCGTCCCCCCACCTGCACCCACCCCTCCTCCTCCACCTCACTGTGGGGGGCCCAGACCTCCGTCCCCCCACCTGCACCCACCGTTCCCAGGTGCAGCCAGAGGGAGCCTGTCCCGGGCCCTCACGGGACCCGCCCCTACATCTTTTGTTGTGCGCTGTACCAGTGAGAACACAAAGGTCACAGGGCACACGGTGGGCCCTCAAAGTTTCCTCCACCCCATGTTCATGTTCGTTCTGTGCCCACGCCCCTGCTGCGTCCCCCTCTGTTCCCAGGACCCCTTCTAGGCCGCGTACCCACTGCGCTGAGACCAGTCTTGGGCACTGGGGGCGCCTGCTGGGACACGGGCACGGGTCCCGCGGCAGGTGCTGCCGGAACACCTCCCTCAGGTAAGCCTGAGTCAGCTGGGCCCTGGTGAAGAGCCCTGGAAGCCAGCGTTCCCGAGCTGCAGCCTCGGCCTGCGGCTCCCTCCTGCCCGGGGGGCGGGGGGGGGAGCTCCTGAGCGTTTCCTTAGCGGGCGGTGCACACAAGCCCCGCACCGTGGGTGACGAAACATGTGCGCGAAGCCGTGGGGGGCTCCCGGCAGAGGCGGCTCACAGGTGCATTGGCCTGTCCCCACCCCGAGGCTCGCTCGCAGCCAACATTTCCCAGGGCAGCCCTGTAGGCTCGGCCAGCACCCCGCAGGGTTCCCAGCCACCCCCCGGGCCTCTTCATCACCCGGGGCCTCCTGCGCCCCTTGCCTGCCCCCCGCATTCGTGTGAGGGTGCCAAGCCAGTGCCCCCCTGCGGCCCAGCGCCCTCGCACCCGAGAGCAGGAGAGGCCACCTGACCACACACAGCACGGGGGTCGGGGGGGCAGGGGCTCACCTGAGAACAGGAGAGGCCACATTCTGCAATCTGGGGGACGGCCAGGCTCTGGTAAGTGCTCCAGGTCAGGGAGAGGAGCACCACAGCCGGCCCGGCCAGCATCTGGCCTGTGCGACAGCTGCCACGGAGCATGGCGAGGGCACGCGTGAGGGCGAGAGGCGGGACGCTGCTCGTCGCCTGCCCAGCCCGCAGCTCCAGCCCCAAAGACAAACGGGAGAGTCTTGAGTGAGTTTGCTCCCCGGGCTCCTGGTGGAACGGAGCCCAAGTGGGCGGCTGAAGCCACAGCCCCGGAACTTCCTGCCAGGCCTGGCTCGTGCTGTGGGGCCTTCGGACTCTGGCCAGAGGCCCACGCAGTTTTCAGATGCCAAAGGAGGCATCTGGAACCCTGAGTCTTTGGGGTTCCAGGTTACTGGGTGCCCCTTGGGGCTAGTCTCTGGAGCAGAGCTGGCTGTGGGCCCATGGGATCAGGGAGCTGTCCCACATGCCCCATGGCTCCTGGGTACACCCATTTCTCAGACACTCATCTTGATGGGGGGGAATGGATGGGGGGCCGATGGCCCTGGTTGTTAAGCTCGGCTGGGCTTTTCCAGGTGCCCGGACCCTGAGCCGCTGGCTCCAGACCCAACCGTTCAGGAGACCTCTTCCCCGGAGCAGGACCCGGGACCCCATGCCACTTCCAGAGTGTCACGTCACCCCTCAGATGTGACAGGCTGTCCCCCCCGCTGAGCCCTCACGTTGCTACCCTTCACCCCAGAGGGCAGCAGCCGGGGCCTGGCTTCTGCTCAGGATCACGCGTGCTTCTGTTTCTCATCTGAGTCCTACTGCACGTGGACATTTGCAGCAGAAGCTCACAGCACCGGGTCTGCTCCAGCCTTCGTGCAGCGGAGGAGGAAGGACAGGAAGGCGGCCCCCCCGCCCTGGGCAGGCCCAGACTCCGGGTCCAGCCTTCTTCCTGCATCTGGTGGGCAGGTGTGAGCGTCTCTGGCCCGGGGGTGGGGGCACCATCCTATGAGTGGGGGCACGTAAAGTGATAGACGGCTGGGGAGTGCCTGGGGCCTGGAACCCCAACAGGGCACCCCAGGTTTGGAGGGAAGCTGACGCTGACTGGCACCAACCCCAGGCTGGGCACCTTGCACAGGTGGGTCCCGAGGGCGGCACAGCTGCACTGGCCCACGTGCTCCGCGAAGTGGACTCAGGCAGCTGAAGGAGCCTCTGCCCCACAGGACAGCGCCTGCCAACGAACATCACCCAAGGCGACGGTCCCCGCCCTCCCGCAACCCTGGCCCGGCCTCCAGAGCCCACAGCCCAGCTCTCCCTCCATGCCCCCGCCTGGTTTTAGCACACGTGGGGTGGGACTTCTGTGATGACTGCGGGTCTCTGGGCACCCCCTCGCACGCTGCTGGTGAGGTGTGGCAAATGGAGATGGAGCTCCCAGCCCCTGGTGCTCCGCTGTGGCCACAATGCCCAGGAGAGGGAGAGCCTGATGCCCGCCGTCGTGCTGGGTGGCGAGTGGCAGCAGGCTGGCATGTCGGGGGTCACTGAGGAAGGCCAGGCACCCGCCGTCCCGCTGTGCCTGGCCTGGCCCTCCCCCAGCACCTTGGGCCTCTGGGTCAGCCAGGTGGGGTGAGTCAGAAGGAATGTGCTGCACCAGGGGTTCACGTTGCACGGACCCACTGTCGTCTTCCAGACCAGACAGGGAGGGGGCCGGCCTTGCTCCACTGGCTCTGAGGCGAGTGGGAACCGCGCGCACTAACACATGACTTCAAGGGCACAGGCCTTCCTCTGAGTAAGGCGGCCATATGGCCACTTGGGCCCAGAGTCCTGCTCCGTGGCTGCCCCAGGATGGGCCCACCCGCCAGGTGACACACGTGGCACCCTGAATGTGCCATCCCAGTGCCAAAGGGATGCAGGTGACCGAAAGTGGATGGCAGATCCAACCACATGCCATCCTGGAGAGGAAAGGCCCACGGTGGGGGGTGGGGAGAAGCATAGTGAGGATGCCCCTCCCCCTGGAGACGCCTGTGTTGGGGGAAGGGGAGTTATGGACCCTCTCAATGTCCACAAAGTACTGGCCCCGGCTCTTCCTCACAAGCCCCTCTGTTCCACGTAGGCTTGGGGGGCTGGGACACCCAGCCTGCGCCCGAGAGGCTGCGGCGCCCGCCCTCCCAGGGGTCTGTAGCCCCAGCGGCTCCCTGATGGCCGGAGGCCCCAGAAGTCCAACCGTGGTCGTATCTGAGGGTTGAGGGGTCTGACCAGGGAGGGCGCCCCCTGCAGCCCCTCACTCAGCACCCGGCTGGAAGGAGACACTGGTGCAAAGACACCCAGCACATTGAGACTGCTGTGGAATAAATGGGGTAAGTAATGGCCTTGCCTGAGGCCTCCGGCTGGGACGCCGGGAGGCGCCTTCCAGCAAGGGGGGCTCCAGAGGAGGGGGCTCCCTGGGGAGGAACCTCGGGCACCAAGAGGTGCTTGTGTTCCTCTGCCCTCCGTGGGCGGGGGCGTCCTCCTCGTGGCGGGGGGGGCATATGGGTATGGGACGCAGGCCCCGGGATGCGATGGGGGCTCCATAAGAAATACCATGCTGAAGTTGCACAATTTCGCTAAAATAACTCTGCATACAAGGTCTCTCGTCTAAGTGCAGGTTTCCAAAGAAACGAGCCACGCTCTAGGGGCCGCGGGGCCTGGGCGCGTCGGCCCCGCTCGGTCCTCGGCGTCCCGGTGCTCGGCGTCACGGTGTCCACGCGCCGCCGCCTCGCCCGCTGCCCAGGGGCACGAAGGAGGCGCCCTGCAGGACCGCGGCGCAGAAGGAGCGGCAGCGCTTGCAGGGCCGCGCGGGCGGCAGCGAACCGCGGCACACGAGGCAGGGCGCTGGGCACTCCCTGGGCAGCCCTGGGGGGAGAGAGGGGCTCTGAGACCGCGCGCCCGCCGAGCGCGCCCGCCCGCGCCGCGCCCACCCGCCAGTCCAGGCCACGCCCACTCACCCGCCCCGCCCTCTCCCACCCACCCACGCCCACCCGCCGGCCACGCCCTCCAGGCCACGCCCACCGCTGACCACGCCCACCCGCCGGTCCAGGCCTCGCCCGCCCGCCTGCCCCCGCCACGCCTACCCGCCCCGGCCACGCCCACCAGCCCGTCCAGGCCACGCCCACTCAACCCCCCTCGCCACGCCCACTCCCCCGCCACGCCTACCCGCCCCGCCCACGCCCACCCGGCCACGCCCACCCGCCCCGGCCACGCCCACTCACCCGCCACGCCCCCCCACGCCCACCACCGACCGCGCCTACTCGCTCGTTGCCACGGCCACGCCCGCTGAGGCCCCAGAGCTACAGCCGGAAGTCATGGCCCCCACCCCAGAGCAGGCCCACCGGCCCCAGAGACCTGTTGCCCTCAGACTGCGCCCGGCCACCCTCCCCGGTTGCTAACGCCGCTCTCTAGGGCGCTCCTCCCTCATGGCCACCCCGGGGCAAGGCCGGCGTCTAGTCCAGTCCCAGCCGGCTCTCACGCCCACGCACTCCCTCACAGGCCCCACCCTTCTTCCCCCTCCCCCCGTCTCCGCCCCCCCGTCCCCCCCCACCGGCTCAGAGAACCTCAGACTCACACTCAAGGCCAAGGGGGTGGTGTCTAGGGGCCTCGCGTCCCTGGAGTGGAGGCCGTGGGGGTTGGGGAGTTCCCCTTTGCCCTGTTCATCTTCCCTCACAACCCTCTGCCTGTCTCCCCTGCCCGAGGTCCTGGGTGGTCCTAGCCGGGTGGGAGAGCTGAGCCCTCAGCGGCCCTGGCCCCCCACCTGCAGGGAGACAAGCAGAGGGCTTGCTGTAGGAGGTGCCCCATTACCATCCCTGAGCCTCCCCCCACGGGAGTCGGGTGTCCCCCCTCGGGAGCAGGGCCCGGGAGCACCTGCCTGGTGCCCCTGGGATGTCCCACAGCCCCTGGTTAGGAGGCCAGGGAGGAGCTTGCCTGCAGACCCACGCAGGGTGGTGGCTCCGGGCCACGTGGGCATGGAGGGGACCGTAGGAGCCCCAGAGCCCTGGCCTCTCCCCCCAAACCCTCCCCCCGGTGCCTGAAGAGGACCTGCCTTCTCCGGCTGGTCCTCCAGCCTCCCGACTGCACCCAGCCCTCCCACCCAGCTCAGACCCTTGGAGCTGAGGCCCTGTCCCCTCTGGGCCTGGACCAAGATGGGCCGTAGGCACGGAGGTGGGTGTGAAGAGTGTGCTGGGTCAGGACCCAGAGTCCCAGGCAGCCCAGGGGCTGGAGGGGCTCCGAAGGGAGGCTGGGATGTCGGGGCCGGGGTGTTGCCCCCTGACAGACGCGGCCTGGCCTCAGCACTGGCTGCCCTGCCCGCTGGCTGCCTGGGGGTGGGGGCACTGGCCCCTGGGGGAGCTGTCCACCTGGCCGGCAGGCGGGTCTCTGTGATGGCCCCCACCCCAGCATGCTGGCCCAGGAGGTGGTGACGTTGGGGGAGGGTGCTGTGGGCGGCGTGGCCGCAGATGGGTGGCCCCGCGGTGTCTGTGTCGGGTGAGGGTGGGCAGCCTGGCCCCCTGGAGAGGTCATTGCCCTGTGCTAAAGCTGGTGCTTCAGGATTTTCACACAGCTCCTCTGACACCCCAGGGCAGGCAGGTGAGATCGTGTGCCCTTCCTGGGGGGGCAGTCATGGGCTCCAAGAACCTGAGACCTTGGCCAGGCTCCCTCTGCCCTGGTCCTCCGGGCTTCTAGCCTTTGCCTTGGCTCCAAGGTCGCCCCCAGGTGTCTGTCCTGCCCTCTGTAGGGAGTGGGGTGGGCCTGTGCCAAGCTGCCTCGGCTCCCGCTGTGCTGAGGCCTGTGAGTCCGCCCCGGGCGGCCGAGGCCCAGGAGCCCAGCTGGCATCCGTGCTGCAGCCTGCGCGGGGCCGGGCAGGATGAGGGCTCCCCAGCTCTCCTGGCCTCGGGGCCGGGCACTCCCCAGCCAGCAGCCGCCCAGCCCAGGGGTGCCACAGCCCAGACACCACGCTTATCAGAGCCACCCAGTACCCAGTATGGTGGCCGGCGCTGAGTCTCTCCTCCGGGGGTCCGGGCAGGGAGGGCGGGGGCAGGGCCATCCGGCCCCTATGCAAAGCAGCCCACAGCTTCCTGGAGCCTTGAGCAGATGCTGAGCCAGAGCCTGGGAACAAGGCCACCCTGAGGGGCTGGGACAAGCCGGGGCCTGCACGCGGAGTGAGGGGGTGAGAGGCGGGGGTGCAGGCAGGCACACTGGCCAAGGGCAGGCACTCTGCCCACCACCGCACCCCAGGGCCGAACGGAGCCTGCCCTGGGGCCAGAAGGGACAGAGGCCAGGCCAACCTCAAGCCAAGGAGGACAGGGCCAGGGCCTGGTAGCCAGACAGGGTGGGGGGCTGAGGGGGGGAGGTTAGGAGGATGCGGAAGGAGGGGCCTTGGCCCTGAGCCTTGGGCCCCTCTGAGGGGTGAGGGCTGAGCATCAGGGCAGCCGGATTTGGCATCTTGCGGGAGAAAGGGAGGATGGGGGTGCCGGACGGGGTGCGCTGAGGATCTGGTGGCCTGGGATCCAGACCACCCTTGTGGGGGAAGCCACCCTGGGCATAAAATATGGAAAGCATTCTCTTGAAAGCAACAAAACACTGGCAAAATAGCAAGGAATTATCTGACCAAGCCTGTGGGCAGGTGAGCCTCCCTCTGGGGCTCTGCCACCCAGGGTCACCAGGAGCCCAAGGCTGCAAGGCCTCGCGGGGTGTGCAGGACAGAAGAGGGGTGAGAGGCACCCACCGTAGGCGCAAAGGTGAACAGAAACGCCCTGCCCTGCCCTGGCCCCGGGGCGCTGAGAGCTGCGGGGATCCCAGAGGAGACGGACCTGCTCGTGACAACTTCTTGTCCTCGGGCTGGGGGGGCAGGAGGGCTTCAGAGCGCGAGGCTTTGGATTTAAAACGAGCGGCCTTGCGGGGGGCAGTGGGGACAAACACCAATCCTCACAGTTCATTTTTTTTAAAGAAAAGGAGGCATAGGTAATAAAATGTGAGCGAGCCGCAGGGACCGTGAGAAGCCCGACCCAAAACTTCAGGCGCCGGCATTCTGGGCCATCAGCAGATAGACTGCGACCTCCGCGCCTTGGGGTGCCGTCGGGGCTCACCAGCAGGGAAAGAAGCCACCCACGTGACCTAATTGCTTTATCAGAAAGTGGAACTTCTCCAAAGTGAAGCTATAATAACTAAAGTGAGAATTCCCGGGGCCGGATCACTGCGTACCGGACGCCGACGAGGCGTCTGGGGAGGCGGCCCCCCGAGACCGCACGAGCAGGAAGACCGGCCACCGGGGGAGGAGGCAGTGGCGCAAGCTTCTCGGAACCGACTGGGGGCACCCGTCCGCGGACTAAGGAGGCCCCAGGAATTAGGAGAAATTACAACAGGATGACACGGCCGGACGGAGCGCGTTAACGGGCTAGACGGGACGGGCAGACGGCTCACCTTGGAATGGGTGCAGCCACGGGGCCCAGGCAGCGGATCGGGGTAGGGGGGGAGGCCGACCCCTGCAGCCCCGAAAGGAGTCTGCACGCACCGCCCCCGGGCCCCGCTGGGGGGACATTCTAGAGTCGCCTTGAGCAGAGCCCGGGCTGAAAGTCTGAGACGCGGGGGCGGGAAGGGCACAGAGGAATAGACGTGGGTAGACACAGAAAAACACGGGGTAGAGGCAATGATAAGAACACCTAGTGGGATTAAAATACAGACGGGATTAAACTGCAAGACAACGGCTGCCAGAAATCAGGGTGGCGCCTCCAGGTTTCCCAGCAGGAGGGTCAGCGAATGGGCTGGGAGGGCGCAGAGAAGGCTGTTCTTAGCTTTAGTCTCTGGTAACTAGAAATTCCAGGCAGCCCCTAAAAGAGCAGAAACAGACGATAACCTCCAAACTGGAAGAAGGAACAGCGAAAAAAAAATCAATCCAAAACGCGGTAAGAGCAGACAGGGGAAGGCACAGGGAAGGGACGGGATGAGCAGAAATAAGTGACGTCAGAGGCACCAACGGCGTCCTCGGGCTCCAGGGCCCCCCCCCCGCCCCGGCCGCCTCACGGCTGCTGCCCGCCCTACGGCTTGCTCTCTCGGGTCACTCATTCTGCAGGAAGCGTGCCATCGTGCTGGGAGGCCCCGTGGCAGCGGGCCTTCGTGGAGGTGGGTCCGGCCTCCGTCAGGCCTGCAGACGACCCAGCCCCCCCCAGCGTCTGCCCCACCCCGTGAGAGAGACCGGGGGCAGCACTGCACAGTTAGCCACCCCTGGATTCCTGACCCCCAGAAACTCATAGGGTAGCGTTTGTTGTCTTAACATTTTTAAACGTTTGTTTATTTTAAGAGAGAAAGCAAGTGGGGGAGGGGCAGAGAGAGAGAGAGAGAGAGAGAGAGTCCCAAGCAGGCTCCACACTGTCAGCTCAGAGCCTGATGAGGCTCAGTCCCACGAACTGTGAGATCATGACCCGAGCTGAAGCCAAGAGTCAGACGCTCAACCGCTTAACCGACCAAGCCCGCCCGGTGCCCTGCTGTTTTAACTCCTGGACGGGTTCGTTACACAGCAGTAGTTCACTAGAGAACCCATGGATACATGTGTGCATATGACCGCAGAAAACGTCAGTATTAAATGCACCAGTTAAAAGAGTGTTGTCCATATCTGGATCAAAAAAATCAAATTTTAGGGGCGCCCAGGTGGCTCAGTCAGTTGAGTGTCCGACTTTGGCTCAAGTTAGATCTCATGGTTCGTGAGTTTGAGTCCTGCGTTGGGCTGTGTGCTGGCAGCTTGGAACATTTAAAAGAAAGAGAGAAAATCCAAAGACATCTACAAACTACTAGAACCAAGAAGTGAATTTACCAGCACCTTGGGCTATAGTGTCAGTATATAAAAAACAATGGAATATTCTATACAT